CTCATGACAGATGAGTTTCTCACATCTGTTTCTCTTCCTGCACACAGATGTTACACAGCAGTCTGCTCCGAGGAGGAGACGACGTTCCTCCTGTGACTCCCTGAGGAGAGAGTAGCCTGGGGAGAATCCCATTTACACCATCGTTAATGTGTGTGTGTGTGTGTGTGTGTGTGAGGCATTGATTACTGTGACATATACAGGAAGTAAAGAAATATAGGAAGTGGCAGGCCTGGGGCCGTGTGTGTGTGTGTGTGTGTGTGTACCCTGTGGCTGATCTCAAACTGTGTGTGTTTTCATGTTGATCTCATGCAGTTGTTGAAAAGCCAAACACAGACTGTTCATCCAGATGTTGACAGATGTGCTGCAGCAGACCTGACACACAGACTCTGGCTCTGTTTTTTCTTCTGTCCTCAGATGGGGTTTTTTTTTTGTTACATCACAACACAGTGTGATTTCAAAATTTGTTTTTTTTACATAGAATCTTCCTCCACACAACACAGCACGAGAAGATCAGTCTCTTGAAACGCTCCAGCCTCAGACGTCGTCCTCTGCTCCATCATCATCATCCACCAACCCCAACCCCACAAACAACAACAACAACAACAACAACAACAACAACAACAACAACAAACAAGAGTGAATTTTAACATTTAATCCATTTAAGTCAATCAGACTAACTCTGACACACTGACCTGACCTTTGACCTGGGCCCTAGGTCACCTCCAGGTCAGTCTCCTCCACCACAGTGACCCGTCGTCACTCTTCAATACCAACAGTGAAAAACAAACAACGCTGTGGATTTTTATTTTTTTATTTTTTTTTTTGAGTGAAGATTCTTCTCAAAGTAAAATGTCAGATGTAGAACTTTACTATTTTTTTTTGTTCTGTGATGTGTCAGTGCAGCTGTGACATTTACACTGGAGACCAGACAGAAGAAGAATAATGAGGTGAGGGTATTTATACGTGTTCTGCCATATGTCAAGGTCACACAGTGGCAGCTCCTCACTGCTGGAACCATGTAGAACTTTACTACCCTCTCTCTCTCTGTCTCCCCCTCTGTCTCTCTGTCTCCCTCTCTCTCTCTGCCTCTCTGTGTCTCCCCCTCTGTCTCCCTCTCTCTCTCTCTCGCTCTCTCTCACCACTACATCAACAGCTCCACCACTCAGCAGAATCTGCAGTGATGGCACCCAGCAGAACTTCAGCATGCAGCTGGATGTGTGTGTGTGTGTCACAGAGGAGATGATTGTGTAGATTTGGTTCTGTTCCCACAGCCTCCTGAGGAACATCTGTCTCCCAGCACTGAGACACGCATCAACATGAGATCTGTCACCTGACTCACGCACCAACACTGACCTGTATCAACACTTCAATGACAGTAATCAGTGACCTCCATCCACAGCACCAGGTGATTAAAACTGTTGGTTTTCTGTGGTTAAAGTGTCTCATGACAGACAGGTTAAAGCATTGTTTCCCCAAAGACTGGGTCGCGACCCTTAGCTGGGTCGCAAGAATTTTTTATTTTTTTGGGGGGTCGTCTCACATCATGTTTCCCAGGAGTTTGTGAATAATGTATTGGGTCATGAAGGTTCATGACATAAAATTAAAATATTAATATTAATATAAAATATAAAATATTATATTAATATAATATTAAAATATGGATCCCCAGTCCAAAGTCAACGTCGTCAACGTTGTAAAAATTGCCAACATCGTGAACATCACGCTCTGAAAGCTGCTCTGACGGTCCTTCTTCTTTGTGGTCATCTGTTCGTCCTCAGTCTACATTTCACAGCTGAGCGCAGAACAGCTGACCCAGAACAGAGCAGATCCAGAGCCATGCTGGACCATGCTGCGCCCCCCCCCCCCCCCCCCCCGCCCCGCGGTTCCGCACACCTTTAGCACGGTGGCTGCAGCTGCTCTGTTCTGTCTCCTGTGTGTGTGTGTGTGTGTGTGTTCAGTTCCCTGTGTAGGATCTGTGTGAGCGCAGCTGTCCTACCTCCATGTGGGTCTCTCCTGAGTGGGGGCCCGACCTCGCTCTCCTGAAGCCACTTCAAAGAGACCTGGGACAGACGTGGGTTTGGAGCTCAGGACAGTCAGCACGGCTGAGGCTGCACCGGCCCCCGACCCCCGGCCCCTGGAGCTGGGTTTGAAGGTAAACCTCTGTGGGGGTTGATGGTAGTGGTGGGGGTATAGAGTGGCCTGGGTAGGGTAAGGTAAGGTGTGTGTGTGTGCGTGTGTGTGTGCACAGGTGTCATCCGGACGGTCACGACTGATACAGTGACCCAGTTTCCTGAAGACAGACCACCGTGACCCAGTTTTAAAAATAAACTAGAATTGGAGTACAAGTAAAAGTTAAATCAAAATAAATCACCAGGACTGTATACTGGTGCTGTAACAACTACTCATGTTTATGGAAATTCAGATTTGTTTTGGCTAATTTAATGCAATTTTTTATTTAGTCAGGCTAATTTACTGCTGAATCACCACATGTCAAACTCAAGGCCCGGGGGCCAAATTCAGCCCGCCTAGTCATTTTCTATGGCCCACGAGGAGCTTAGAAAAAGATTTCATAAAGTCCATGCAGCAGTGATTCTTAATGTGATATTTTTTTTTATTACACAGCAATGAACAATATTTGTCACTCTTGTAACACCTCAGAGGGGACACAGAAGCCCCCCACCTCTGGTGTTTACCTGTGCACACACACACACACACACACCTCAGAGGGTTGCTGGTGTGTGTGCTCTCACCCCCCTCCTGCACACAGGCCTGTGAGCAGAAGGCCAGCTGATGGCACAGTGTGTATGTCCTGATAGCGGCCAGGACACACACACACACACACACACACATACACATATTATCTGTCACGCTCAGTTCACCTGTGTCTGCTCCATGCACCCCCCCATGGCCCCGTACCAACGCCCTCTGTCACTGCTGCTCACAGCCGTGTGCCATCTGGAGACAGAGGGACAGAGGACGGAGGAGAGAGTGTTGTTGTCGTCGTCCGTCCACATTCTGTCCTCTGTTTTTATCAGTAACATTTCACCTGGTAGTAGGTGAAGCGATGTCGACTTTGTAGTAAACAGCAGGACGTCCACTGTACCACAGGTGAGCTTTAACTCACCAACGTGGAACAAACACGGGGGAAATTCCAAAAATGCAGTGAATCAACAGTGAGTGTCACAGATGTCCGTGAAGACTGTGGTTCAAACTGTCAGCTGCTGAGTGGAGGTGGAGGGTCATGTGCTGTGCAGCTGTCACATCCTTTCACTTCTACCATGTCTGAAGATGCTGGAGTGTTGTAAAGATCAACAGGAGCTGAACTGATCTTCTGATCTGTTTTTGTGTGTGTGTGCAGGTAAAACAGCAGGACAGCAGTTCTCTAACGGAGCGGGACATTCCCTGAGACTGACTCTGAACACACTGCTGCTTCTTCACATCATCAGCCCCAGGATCAGGGTTTGTTCTAAGTCATTAAGTCATGACCAAATATCCTGAATCCTTGTATTTATATGAATTAAAATTCTACACAACCGCTTTATAAAACCAATAAAGGCTGTTTTTATTATTTAAAGACTTGGTAACAAGTCAATAATATTTCAAAATATGTATTAGCATATAAACATTATTAGTATTGATAATAATAATAATAATATACTTTATACATGAAAGTTAAACTATGGAAAATATCAGTTAAAAACCCAAACATTTGTTCCTAAATCTCATCTATTTCTTAGAAGTCCAACAATATCTCATAATTGAGAAACTTTTCTCATAATAATTCTTCCACATTATTGTCATTAATATAAACGACATATTATAAGTATAAGAAATGATGTGATTATTTAGTATCTTTTTTTTGTTGTTGTAGTTTTCTTTTTAACCAAACTTCCAATAGGTGGGTTTCTGTATTACTTGAGTCATAGGATATACGGGATTATCAACTATTCTCGCGATACTTGGTGTGATTAGCGTCCACAGATACAGGAGATGCTGGAACACAAGATGAAGTGAACAAGAAGCAGCACCGCAGCGATTAACACAACGTCAACACGGCCGTCCGACAGTAAGATTCCTGTGAGTGTGTGTTTACTGTACGTTAGTGTTGGGTTGTGTGTGTGTGTGTGTCAGGTACTGAGGTAGGTTCCTCTGAGTGACGTCACGAGCATTCCTGAAAGTCAAAACAAGCGGTCGCCACGGTAATGTAGGAGATGTGGTAGCTTCTCCTTTTGGTGGCGTTTTCTTCTATAAATGTTGTGATAGGATTACGATTAAGAGTGAAAGGAAGGGGAAAAGTTCGGGTTAGGGTTCGGCTCTGAGCCCGGGACCAGTGTGAGTTGTGTGTCGTGGTTTTTGAGAAGGCGGTGAACAGCAGGTGCAGTACTTGTTCCAGGTGAGAGAGTTAGCTTAGGGGCTGAGGCTGTGAAAACATGATGCTAACAGCTAAGCTAAGACTCTCCGTGTCTTTATTCAGGTTTATTTCATTAAATTGTTCTTCTTGACGGTGTGAGACACGAATACTGAAGATCAACAACAGTCCAACAGAAGTTTGACACTGAAGTTATTCCCATGTGCAATGTCGTTTTGAACCCAAACTAACTTTTAATTTTCAGTAAACTAAATGACCATCATTTCAAAAAATATTCACAATGATCATATTGATTGATAATCAACAATGTAATTTCATTTATCTCTGTGATGTTTGAGATATAGATTCAATATAGAATAAAACAAAACATACATATGTAGTTTTACAGTTTTTCCTATGTTTTATGTTCTTATTCAGCCACATTACAGAAGCTGAATAAAATGCTTAAATTTTGGACAAATAATATAAATATAATGTAATTTCCATATTTACCACTACAGAAGCTGAATAAAATGCTTAAATTTAGGACAAATAATATTAATATAATGTAATTTCCATATTTACCAAGTCAGAGGAAAGTTTGATTCTCTTAACATCTGAGCTCTAAAACCAGTATCCCAGAGAACAGCTTGTTCCCAAGGTTAAACATTAAAATACAATACTTGATGTAACAAGGGTTTATTTTTTTTAAATTATTAATTGAATTGAACTGTTGCTATAGTAGTGTATATAGAATAAATGTGACATCATTGGTTGGGCTTTAGTCCAAAGCTGTTTAGTAGAGAGCGATGTGGAGCTTTAGTATTTTCTAATATGATGTAAAGATTTAGAAATGATCTTCTGTGACTGCAGATATCAGTTTGAATAATTTAAATTTCAAAGTCACCCAGAGTTGGGGCCTGACTCTGGAAGTATGGAATTGTTGGAAGCAGCAGAATTGCAGCAGATTGTAAACGTGCTGCTTAGGAAAAGTCCTTAATGTGGTCCATAAGGAAGCCTGCATTTTCGATGTGTTGGTTCATTTGCTGGAGATAATACACCAAGACCTTCCAAACCTCCCGTTTCCATGTGGTTTCAGCAGCAGGTGTTCCCGCAGACGTCACCTGCTCAGATGATGGACAGGCTGACGCCGGTGTCCTGCTTTGACCTCCCCTGACCCGTCCTGCTCTCCTCTGTCCTTTTCCTCTTGTTCATGTCGTCACAGTGATCCTGGCTGGGTTTCATGTGGATGAGATTAAAGTTAAACAAACTGAAGCTCCGCTGAATTACACTGCAGAGTCAAAGCCTAATCCAGAATCTCACAGTGTCTGTGGAAGGGATTCAGAGAGTAATCACCACGGTCACGTAGTCACCGGCACCGGGAACACAACTGTTTCCCACGAAATTATAAACTCAATTGAATTCCTGGTGAATCTGGTCAGATTTGTTGTCATTTAAAAAATAAATTTAGTTTACCTTCAGTGGCCAAAACTGATTGACTTTCGATTTGTAATTGCATTAGTAGTTGATGTGTCTGAGAAGAGGGTTTTGACCCAGTGATAAACATGGGTCTGTACCATATCTTTGGAGATTGTTGTAAGTATAAATTAAAAAAAAAACAGCACCAGGAAGAGATTTAAAATAAGTGTTCATGTCAGAGTTCAGTATCTTTCTACATGTTCCTGTTCATGTAAGAATGCAGTCATGTTAGCCCCGCCCACATGCTGCTACTGATGACAACAGTCCAAAGCCAATGTAATAAAAATAATTACAATCGAGTCATTAATATCGTCTGTGATAATTAGTCAAGGATAAACCTGATCCAGTCCCAGATAAGACTACAGAAATGTCTTTGGTTGAGAGTCTTTGTGCTTCTTTAAATACAGATTTTAATTTCTACAAAATATCAACAGTTGGTTTGTTTTCTTTTTCTTTTCTTTCTTCTCTAGTGATTCCAAATGTAGATCCCTCTGTTCCAGTGTCAGTAACTGATGTTCAGATGGAACAGAGTCTGAGACTAGGATCACAGTTTGACTACAGTTACATCGGTGAAAAAAAACAACCCTTAACCCTATATCGTCGTGACTATAGTATCACAGTATATCGCAATATACTGTATCGTGTTTGTGTGCGCGCGCCTCTGTGGTGATGCTGCAGTCCGGTGATCGTTCACCGGACTGGTGACTCCCCACCCCCCCCCCCACCCCCCCCCCCCCGACCCACCACCAGTCATCACAGTGCTGCTCCCCATTCATTGTTGCACTGCTGTGCATCATGTAAAACAGTGCAGTAGAGTGCATGTGAGGTGAACTCAGCAGCAGCCATGCAGTGAGGGGGAGGGAGGGAGAGGAGAGGAGAGGAGAGGGTACCGGAGTGACACGACGGAGAGGTGCAGAGATTTGGGCACAGAGGGGAGGGAGGTGCGGGGGAGAGAGAGAGAGACAGAGAGAGAGAGGGAGAGACACAGAGAGTGTAAGAGCATCCCAAACTGCCATTGTTTTATTTTTCTATTTATATCCAACCCTACTCCACAGTCCTGTAATGCTCTCCATCATCCCACACACACACACACACACACAAGAAGGTGGTGACAAAAAATGACACATGCAGAAATGTGCAGTGTGATGTGAGTGATGTTATTCCACGTAGCAGCTAGCATCCCACACACACACACATGGATGGATGATGGATGATGGATGGATGGATGGATGGATGAAGACTACCAGAGGTGTTGTTGTCTTTTCCTCATCAGAAGTGGAACCTGATTGTTCCCTGTGTTTCTGTGTGAGAGTGACACAGGAAGTGAGCGTGAGTTTGGGTGGAGGAGAGTGGACGGAGCGGCGTTTGTCCTCACGGTCACTGGTCGTTTCTCCTCTCAGATTTTATGAAAGGGCTTTAGAGAGAGTAAAGATGGAGCAGCAGCAGAGGAGGAGAGAAATTAACCCGATGACTTTGTTTTCTTTTTTTCTTTTCCTTTCACTTCCTTCCAGGCTGAGTCACTGCTTGTGAGGAGGGAGCTCGGGGGGGGGGGGGGGGGGGAGGAGGAGGAAGGGGGAAAGAAGAAGAAAAAGAAGAAGAAGAAGAAGAAAGGAGAGAGGGAGGGAGAGCAGGGAGATAAGCCACAACAGGAAGCAAAACGACCCACAAAAACACACACAGTCGTGCACAAACACACCACCGGCCTGTGTGTGTGTGTATGGGAGCAGGGAGAGAGAGAGAGAGAGAGACTGCTAACAAGAGGGAGAACGGCAACGGAAGGGAGGGAGAGTGACGCGGAGGCTGGGAGAGCCTGCTTCCCCCCCCCCCTCCTCGTGTCCTCCTCCTCTTCTCCCTCTCTTTCTCTCCTCTCCTCCTCCCCTCCTCCCTTCCTCTCTCTCTCTCAGCGGAGCAGGCGTGTAGCGGCATCAGACTCGGCGTGAAGGAACCATGAGCGATGTCACCATCGTCAGAGAGGGATGGCTCCAGAAACGGGGTAAGTGCAGCCAGAACCTCTCCCTGGTTCTGTTCTCCTGCGTCTCCCTGCCTGTCCTTTCTCTCCCATTCTCCTCCTCCTCCTCCTCCTCCCAGGCTCTTGTCTAGACTGAGGGCCTGGCTGTGGCTGAGTCCACATGTGCTGCTGGAGGATGTGTGTATGTGTGTGTGTGAGATCACATGGATGTCTGATCACCAGGTCTGTCAGTTTATGTATGTTGCTCTCCCCTCCTTCCCCTCCCCTCCTCTCTGCCCCCCCCCCCCAAAAGGGATGTGTGTCTTTAATGTGAGTCTGTCTGGCACTAGTTTGTTTGTGGAGCCTCTGCTGTTGTTTTTGGTGCGTATGTGTGTATGTATGTGTGTATGTTTGTGTGTATGTTTGTGTGTGCGTGCATGGCTTGGTGAATGAAGTGACTGTGTTCAGTTCATAACACAGCAGGGCTGCTGTTACACTGCTAATGTTATACAGTTGTGTCAGGTCACTGACAGGTGTGTGTGTGTGTGTGTGTGTGACATGTTACAGACACAGCAGGTGTTTGTCACAGTGTTAGCATCCGTCCATCTTCAGTTTGTGTGTGTGTGTGTGACACACACTGTTTTCTTATAAAATCCTGAATGGTTAAAACACAGAGAGTCACATGACCTGGTTCTGTTGGGGTGGGGTCTGGATTGGGGACAGTGACAACACATCCTGTCAACAACTGAATAACAAAATGTCATAGTTGAGGCTCATGTAACAGGACAGTTCACACACACACACACAGCCCACGGTGTGTGTGTGTTGGTGCAACAGGTGAGAGGTCAGTGTCACAGAAGCCCCCCTAAACCCCCCCCCCCCCAGGGTCCAGACGTGTGGTCATGAGTACATGTGTCCAGGCCCAGAGCAAAGGGAGGGGTGGGGGTTTCCAGTGTTTTTGCGTCATCATCCCATTGGCTGTGGGTGAATGTGTAAAAGAAACAGTTTAACAGGAAGTGATGCACAACAGACAGCAGAATTATGGGTAATGTAGGCCAGTGCTGTGGAGTGTGGAGCGGCAGGTCCAGGTTCTGGAGGAGAGAGAGAGAGTTCTTCTGAGGAGCAGGGACACACACACACACACAGACACACACACACATACACTGACGCACATGGTATTACAGATACAAGCAGTGCTGCCACATTACGGGAGAGGATGGTTGTGTGTGTGTGTGTGAGTGTGTGTGTGTGTGAGTGTAGAGATAGAGGTTGTAGTTAAGGAATGTGGGAGGGCAGTTGTTTGTGTCAGGAATATGAATGTTTGTCTGCATCATATGCTAAATCTTTGTCTGTGTGTGTGTGTGTGTGTGTGTAGGGGAGCGTGGTTGTCGTGCTGACTCACTGTCCAGTTCGTGACTGCAGTCTCAAACATGAGAGCAATTTTCTTTCTTTTTTTATGTTACCAAAATGATACCGTGGGTGAGAAGGAGAGAGGAAGAGAAACGTCTGCGTGCCCCTCAGCTTTAGTACCAACCCTGTCTGTGACTCTGTCTGTGACTGACTGTCTGTAAACACCAGGTCGCCATGTTGTTTGGTTTAGACCACATGACCTTAAAGCGGAAACAGAGGATTGTCTGACAGAATTCTCAGTAGACCCCTCCCCGTCCCCCAGTAAAGATATAAACATCAGACAGAGACAGAACTTGGGTCTCGACCAGCAACCAGAATTGTTCTGAAATTTCTGTGTCGGTGTCACGGACACATCGTCACGCAACCAGAATTGTTCTGAAATTTCTGTCATTTCATTCTCATTGTTGTCATGTACGTGTCAGAGTAGATGATTAGTCAACAGGTCAAAGGTCAACAGGTGGTCTCTCTGGCCCAGGTCAGTGACGACCTATTGATGGACATCACAACTGCAGAAGGCGTTTTGTGCTTTTGTTTTGGTGGAAGGAAGTTTGTTACCTGGTGTGGAGAGGCCCTGGAGTCACAGGCTGGTACTGCAGTTTATATTTGACTCCAATGAGTCATTAATAATAGAGATAGACCCGGAATGTTCCTCATTTTTACTGCATGAAGATTATTGAAACACAACGTTAACTTTTTAAATCACGACATGAAGAAATAATAATGACTTCTCTCTCTGCTCTTCATCCAAATTAACTTTAGTCAACTTTATTGACTTGGGTCGCGAAGGTCTCGGTCAAAGGTCAACAGGTGGCTCCTATTCTTCCTTCCTCCCTTCCTTCCTTCCTTCCTCCTTTCCTTCCATTCTTCCTCCCTCCTTCCCTCTCTTCTGGCCACCGTTCTGTCTTGAATACACATTTGTTATAAAATCAATAAGAAAGAGAAAAACAAAACCATTAAATGTTATGACACATATAAAGAAGGCAGTAAAGAAAAACCTTCATAAAACCAGAGTGTGAAAACACAGAATGTAAATTACATTGAAGTTTTTTTACATCGTCATCATCTCCATCTTCCTCATCCTCCTGGAACATGGAGTGGAACCACAGGAACATCACCTCTGCAGAGTGGAGCACACTGTGTCCTCAGATGACTGAGGCTCTCGGAGCTCACTCACTCACTCACTCACTCCCTCTCTCGCTCGGCCGTTTCTTTCATTGAATCAGAGTGGGATGTGCGTTGGGCTGCATCCTTTCTATGGAGATAATGAAGAGTGGATAAAAACCAGGATCTGTCACCAACGGCTGAGGAAGAAGAAGAAGACGGAGCACTAATGAGGCTGCTCTCATTATTATTATTATTATTACTACACACAGTCACATGGTTCAACTCAGTGCTGATTCTTTTCACTGCAGACTCTGTACTGGTCCCTGTGCACCTCACCTTCTGTCAGTGCACGTGAGGCCACTGAGGCTGCAGTGGTCCAGTGCTGTGCTGCTGGATACAGTTTACCTCCAGCAGCATCAGCCCACACTGCAGTCAGGACAACCCATGGCCTGGAGGGAGGGGCGAGAGGGGAGGAACACCATCATCACTTCTCTGACTCCCCCTGTACTGCCCCCACAGATCTGTGTGTGGGGTTTATTGGGTGCAGTGTAGTGTAGTGCAGTGCAGTGCAGTCAGGGAGCCATCTTGGGTTCAGAGGGTTCAGTGGTTCTGGAGGCTGACTGGCTGCTCAGATCAGGTGGCAGTGCCAGACCTCTGATATCAATCAGCAGCTACTCTCTGCCCCGGTGTCGCCCTTCTTCTCTCCTCTTCCTCTGCTGTGGAGCCTGTCAACACAGCCTACCACTCCTTTAACCATTCACAGTCCTCTGCGGTCCCTCTCTGTCTTTTCCTCCATCCCGTCGCTTTGCTGTTTTCCTCCCTCTGGTTCTCAAACTCATGAATATGTGGGGCAGCAGCCTCAGCCTCAGCAGCCTCAGCCTCAGCAGCCTTAGCCTCAGCAGACAGCGTCGGCCTTTGTTATGAATGGCATCCTCTTCCACATCCGGAGGAAGTGTCCGCTCCGGCGTGGCTTTACAAACTGTCTCCATTGTCCTAAGAATGAGTCACTCTACACTGCAGAGACTGGCAGTGAGCCAGACAGTCTACAGACCAACAGTACAGACAGGGTTTGTCACAGACAAACTTTGACAACGTCCAACAAATGAAAGGCCAACATTGCACTGTGTGCAGCAGACAGCGCCTCACTGAGGCTGCAGTCACAGACACAGCAAAAAAACTGCAGAGAAATCATTCTGTTGGAGAAAGAAATCTTCTAGTCTTCGAAGTTGTGAACGGTCGGTGGTTGTGGAGGACATGTGATCATCTTTGTCTGTCCACGTCTTTGGTACTAAACTGACCTGAGGTGAACTGAACTGAAGTGAAGTGTGCAGAGTATGAAGCTGCAGGATTCTGCAGAGTCTGCGAGTTCATGAGATCACTGCTAAGTGGTAGGAAGCATCCTGTTGGGGGGTGGGGGAGAGTGGGGGGGGCACAAACAGAGAGATGGATTAATGGACGGGTGAGGGAGGGGAGAATGAAGCTATGTACAGTGAGGGGCGGTGTGGTAGGATCGATGATGGGGTGATGACCGGGGCAGAGGCAAAACTGGACAGACGTGGGGTCAAAGGAGGACGGAACAGAACAAAACAGAACAGAACAGAATAGAACAGAACAGAATAGAACAGCCTCCACTGCAGAACTGCCAACTCTACAGTACAGTACAACCTGCAGTGTCTAGTTGTTTTGCATCATTGTTGTTTTCACACCTGTGTTGTTTGAGGTCAGAATCTATAAATTCCTACATTTCCCAGAGTTTTATTTGTGCTGCTGCTCCTGAGGCTGCACGTCCACAGTTCCCTCCTCACTGTAGCGTTGTTGTGGTGTTTTTACGAGGATCCGGGGGAGTTGGAGATGTGAGGGTGGGGGGAGGAGGGCAGCTGCGGCAGCGCTACTCTTACTTACATTTTAAATTAAAGCTATAAACAGTTAGTGTTGAATGTGCCAAGCCAGCACACAGATAAGACCAGAGGGATGGAGTGAAGTCTCACAGCGTGAGGGTGTGTGAAGTGTGGACTCTGGGCTGATTGGAGGGGGCGGGGTTTGTGTGGGTCTGGGTCTGGCTGATTTAGGCAGACAGATTAGTGCCTGGTGTTTTAATTGGTAATTAAACTGTTGGACAGAGAGAGATGGACGTCAGAGTGTTGTCTTCTGGGCTTAGACGTTCACTCGGTGCAGAGTTTGGATGAAAAAGATTCTGTTTTTCTTCCAGACAGGAGGTTGTTTGAGGTCAGTCGGAAGAAATGGAAACTACTGCAAGTACTACTACTACTACAAGTACCACATTCTCACATGGCTCACTACCAAACAAAGATCAACAAAGTTAACACTCAGATCTGATCCAGACTGCCTCGGTCTACATTTTTGTACTTCTACATTTAATCTAGAACTGACTAAAGAAAGATTAACGACAGTCTTGATGCATAAACAATAGTACAACAACATTTGGTTATTGCTCCGTTGTTGGGTTGTAAATACTTTAAACAAATAATCTGTTTAATCAATTTAAAATCATTTTAATTGGATTTGCTGAC